TCCAGTCATTCAAGTTTTTCAAGTTATTCAAGTTTTTCAGTAAAGATAGTAATGGCATCATCTGGTAGAAGAGTTGCATTAGCAACATTTTTGAGTTGGGTTAAAGATGGAGTCTGTGGAAAAGAAACTGAGGTGATGAATGGAACAATTTTTGTTGTGAAGATATGGTGTATGGTTTGTATAAAATATAAAAAAGAATTGCTTCGCGAGTTAAAAGGTCTGGCAAAATCAAAAGCATTAGCATTTATAGAGGGCACTACGAACGTTAAAGCTAGCAACATACATACGCTTATATACATGCTTATATTGTATATAAAGTAACGGAAGCCCCGGTATCTTAAGAAATTATTAGTACTTCTAAATAAAAACTTATTTTATTAAAAGAAATTAGATTTCAAATTTTTTATTCACGTATCAGAATAACTATTTCCGATCAGGATAGGCATAGGTAAAGCAAAGTTATAAAAATATAAATAACAGTTTAAGTTTTTAGTTTGCACGCCCATTAGAATGCAAGAGTATATAAATAATTAAATTAACATAAAATAACATAGTTATGTATCATATTACCAAGCTAATACCAAACAATTCTAAAACTATCGAGCTCATTGATTCAAGGTTAAAAAAAAAAAAGATTTCAAACTATTTGCTGAATAATTAAAAAAATTAGATTTTGAAAATATTATGTAATATTTTTATTCACAAAGAATAAGAGAAACGAATGAACTAAAAAAGCACGATAAAAACCTGTATAATTTAATCGAATACTTGAATAAAACAATAATATATAAATATACTCAAAAAGATTTCGGTAAAAAAACACGTTAGGATGCTTGAATAAGGAAACGTGATAAAACGCCATGGTTGTTTCGAGGATTTTTCCCGTCGTTTTCACGTTCATTCGTTTGACTATATCTGCCAGATATTATCTGGAATAAAGATTAAAAAAAAAAAACATAAAAAACTGAATAAAGTTCCTTCGAGTAAGAAATCTAAACAAAAGCAACCATAAAACAACGTGAAACGAAATTAGATCTGTGCAAGTGAAAACTTTGAAAAACAATTATTGAAATCTTAGTTTTAAGTATTATCCAACTCATTTACTGCAGTGTTTTAATTACTTAAGTAATTAAGCATTTTAAACAGTTAATCGCTTTCTAACATATTATTTTAGTGCAATTCACAAAATGTTTAATATTCAATGACATTTTCATTCAAAAAGAAGAAGAGAAATTAACAAATTTAAAAAAAAAAAAAGTTCAAACTTAAGAATTTTTTTTAAAGTTTAAAAAAGACCGTGCAAGACCATCTAGACGGGCGGCCCTCATAGCCCGCCAAGTCTATTTAAGACGGGCTTTTCATAGCCCGTACGGTTTTTATTCCTGCCGAAGCCTGTATATATATATTATATATATTTATTTTATATATATATATATATTTATTTATATGGTGTTCTATACAATAAAATATACTGGGTTTAAAATATTTTTAAATCCCTAATATCAAAAAAAATTTATTTAAAATTACGTCATCTTGCATTTTAAAAGAAGCGAAATTATAAAATTAATTTAAAGAAGTGAAATTTTAGATTTTACTGCATATAAACTATTGTTTTTTATTATAATTTTATTTTTTTTAAATTTAGTTTTTTGATATAATTTTTTTACTATTTAATTTTAAAAAAAGTGTAAAATAACGGGTTTAGAAAGTTTATCAATTTTGTTACAGAGTATTAACATTTTGTTAATTAGCAAAAAAAGTTTTAATTATAGTTAAGCTAAATGTTTTAATTAGAGTTAATAAAATTAGTTATTATAATTGATATAATATAAATGAAATTAGTTAATATAATTAATATAATATTAATATAATTAGTTATTATAATTAATGTAATATTAATAAAATTAGTTGATATAGTTAATGTAATATTAATAAATTAGTTAATATAAATAAAATTAGTTAATATAATTAATGTAATATTAATAAAATTAGTTAATATAATTAATATGATAATAATAAAATTCGTTGGATTACTTAATGTATCAAGTGGAACTTTGTATGTAGCTGAAATTTAACAAATTTCAGTGTTGCACTACAAATTTGATTTTAATCTATCCACAAAAAAAGTTTTTTATAGCTTTATGTCAAACATAGAATATATTGAAAAATGATTTTGAACAGAAAAAAACAAAAATTATTGTTTAAATGAAATAATCTACCTTTTATGCAATCAAATATTATTCATCAAATTTTTTTCATTAAGAAGCTTTCTGTAAGAAATGATATTTATTATAAAAAATTAGATGAGAGTTTAAGTTCTGTAATTAAGTGGAAAATCATTAAATGAAATAAGGTAACCTTTAAAATAAGATAATGTAACCTTTATCAACATTGATAAATACCATATTTTAACATTAAACCTTGGTTTTTCACTGAATAAAAAAAAGTGAATTGATTAAGAAATGCAGACACAGAAGCAAGCCTCTACTTTTAAAATTTGATACACAATTATTTTCATTTTTAATGATATTGATTTTTTTTTAATTAAAAACAGAAAAAAAATTTCAGACAATTTTTTCTTTATTTTTTCTTTGTTTTATGTTTTATTAACAATTTTTTTTATTTTCACAAATAATTGTGTTCAATGTGGTTTAATATTAGTTTATGCTAAGAGATTTTTATTATTTTACCTTTTAAGTCGATTGCTATAGATGATTTAGAAGGAGGAAATCGTACTAAAGCAATGAACAGACTTCGAGTTTTACCAATATCTGGAAAGGTATATTTTTATTTTTTTGTTTTGTTTTGCAGTCTTTAGTAATCTTGTACTTTTATGAATTCAGAAATAACAACCCAGAACAATGTTTGACAGTATCTATACCAGTTTATATCACTTATTTGCATTCAGAAATGGCATTACTATATATAACATTGTTTGATATAATATTGTTTGACAGATTGCATACCAGTTTATATCTTAAGAAAGAATTTATTCATGATAAATCAGTTTCTGCTCCAAACCAGTCCCCTTTTTTTGCTCCAAACCAGTCCCCTTTTTTTAAAAGTTCCAATTTTTATTTTATCAATTATTTAGAATTTAGACCAAATTTGATTTATGTTAGTAAATTAAAAATTCATTTAGTAAAAAATTTCGATGAAAAATGGTGATGGATTCCAGCCTATGAAATTTTTTAAAAATTAATGATCTTAATATGTGAACATCAAGTTTATTTATATATTATATATTTGGATGCGAAACCATTATATACATTATATATCAGTACAGCCCTCGGAATTAAGGTCAGCATTCGTCAATATCGATCTAACTGCCGACCTAGAAGTGTTTGAAGTCTGTAAAAAATAGTCCACCTTGTTGCTATATTTTATTATAAAACCTTTGTATCAAATTTTTTTAGCCAACCTCTGACAAATTAAACCTCTTTTTTCCTAATTCTAAGGGCTGCCAATATATTGTGTTGCTATAGTTAAACATTTAATTCAAACTTTTTAAATTGTTTCCTTTTTGATATTAGTTTTATTTTAGAAGAAATTAATAAAAAAAATCAAATGTGTAAATTTGTGTGGCAAACTAAATAGATGAGCTTGTGAATACTTAGTTTTTCTTTTGCATATGAAAAAGATTTTACTCTAGTTTTAAGTAAGATTAAACTTTTCAGGTGTTGTTGTTGGTTTGTGTCTTTAAATGCATATACAACTACAATGTTATAAAATCTGTTATTTAAAATCTGTTATTTGTTATTTATTGGCATTTAGATGTTTTTGTTAAAATAAGTTATTTTCCTTTTAAGCAAAAATAAGTAAGGTATAAAAAGGAGATACTCTTCTTTGTTACATAGTTGATGGGGTAAAATAATCACGAAGATCGTTAATATAGAACAATTAAGCTTGTTAAACTTTTTTAATTCATGACCCCATTTATGGTTGGAAGTTTTTTTGCAATCCAAGATAAATATAAAATAAAAATATTTTGTGGTTATTTATTGGTTGGGCAATTATATACATACATATGAAAAAATGCACAATTATAGAAGTTCATACATTTAAATATTTTACATTAAAATCTTGTGACCCCAATATTTTGTTAAGCTACCCTATTTAGGGTTGCGAACCATAGTTTAAGAAGCTTTGTGGATCTTTGTAGGCATTTTGAGCAGACCACTATAGTTTTGCTCATTGGTTATTTAGTGAATCATTAGTGGCTGTTGCAAAAAGTGACTAGCTGATGACTAGCCACTATTAACATGTCAAAAAGTTATCGGCTTGTCATTTACATCAGCTGCCACTAATAGTCAACTAAGTAACCAATGAGCAAAACTCCAATGAACCGCTAAATAATGTCTGTCAATCGTTATCTTTCTCTGTAAACTTCATCTTTTCTCTTCCAGTAACTTCCAACTCTACTGGGTGACCAAGCAACAGCGTAACGCAAAAAGTATAAAAATTTGAAAATACACAAAAAATTTATTTCAATTCATAACTGACTAAAATTTTGACTAGATGTTTATTCATGACTAAGGTTTAAAATTATTCAATGTGGCCGCCATATGCATCATACACAAGTTGGATAGGCTGCTGGAAGGATCTGCATGCATTCTTAACATCTTCTTCTGGAACTTTGGCCCATGCTTTGCATATAGATTTTTTTAGTGACTTAGTACTTCCATGGGGAATCTTGCAAGCCTCCTTCTCCACAGCTGTTCACATAAAAAAGTCTAATGGGTTCAGATCTGGGCTAGTTGGGGGCTACTTTAATTTGTCCCAGTACTGACTCATGTTTTCACTGAGAAAATTTTGTGTCTTTTTTGAAGTATGAACTGGTGCCCCATCCTGCTGAAACACATACTGAACATCTGGATAGTTTCTGTTTAACCAGGGAATGACCTTCTCTTGCAGGAGGCGGATATACTCATCACTGTCAGTTTTTTAACCTTTTTTTACAAGAACTGGTGGACACTTTTTTCCATCACTTGCTATCACACCAAGTACCATCACAGAAACTGGTTTTTTTGATGAAAATGAATACCTGATATTCTCAGGGACTTCCTTTACTGTTTTGGCAATACTAAGGTACCTTGTGTTGCGACGATTAGTAACTTTATCCACAATGAAAAGTTTTTCACCAGGGAAGATTGTCACACGCCTAGGGTAAGATTTACGCCAGTTTAACAATTTTTTGCATTGCTCTTTCCTACTTTCTTTCTGTTTATTAGTGATAAGATGCTTAGTCACAACAGCTCTGGAGTTAAGGTTCATAACTTTTTGCATTGTGGAGTTGGCAACATTGGCTTTCCTTGCCAACTGGCGGATGGAGTGCAATGGATTTCGCTTGACTTTTCTTTCGACAGACCTTAAAAGCTGAGATGATCGTTTCACAAGTTTTGGCTTATTAAAATGTCGTTTGATATCTCCTGTTTCATGAAAAAGTTTTCTTACTCGAAAAATTGCTGTTCTGGAGCAGTTTAAAGCCTTTCTGTAATTTGTATTAATTTGTAAACAAATAGATCCACGGATATCTACAAGCATGGATAGAGCCTTAAATTTGAGCTTAACGCAGTTGCGTGGTCACCTGGTAATAGTGGTTGCTTGCAGCCTTATTGAAAGTGAAGATATTGAAAACAAAAAAAAAATGCCATATAGGTCCACTGCAAATCCACTAAAACAATGTTTGCTGGGATATTTAGTAGCCCTCGTGTCAAGCAATCATTCAGCATGATAAACACCATAGCTTTAGTTAAGTATCAATTATTAGCAAACTAGACCGCACTGCTAGGGTACTTTAAGAGAAAAGATATATTGCATGACTCAATTAACAAAAACATCTGTGGTCATTTGCAAACTGAAAGCAAATACTAGATTAAAAAAATAAAATTTCAATGGAAAGGCAGAAAAGTTGATGAACATTTTTTTAATATAAACTCACCATGGAAAAAAAAATCGCCTTGCATTAACAGTGCAAAATAGTTTAAAAATTATAGATTGTGCAAAAAAAATGCAGAAAAAAAAAGTTGATAAAAGTTCATATATAATAGAATAATAAAGAAAGAAAGGTTTATATATAATACAATGGAAAATAATAAGAACAAAAAGTGTTGATTTCTAAACCATTGTTTGACATTTTATGTTTAAAAACAAAATAAATTATCATGCTTTTTGTTGTTTACAGTAAAACTGAGAAGGTTCATTTTATTTTAGAGAATTTTAGAGAACATAATTATTCAGTAGTTTTTAGTTATTTTACTTATTGCTTTACCAAGTGTCCAAAATTTACCCATATAACTTTGCTATTTTTATGGAATTTCCAGAATTTTTATAAGTTTAAATACTCATCTATGAGCCAGAGTGATCTCCAGAGTTTTTCAGAGGAGATTACAAACTTTAGAAGAGAAATGACTTTAGCAATGACATTTATGACATTGTTTAAGCTTTTCCAAAAGTCTTTTAAACCTAATTTCTGTGATAAATTACAAAATTTAGTAAACTGAGAAAGGACTAGATCAGCATCAAACAATACCTTTTTGTATCAATTTCCTAAAACAATAAAGAGGTTTTGCTGTCCTTGTAACAGGATGAAAGTTTTAAGAAAGAAATTATTGTGATTAGAAATAGCAGCTGTACAAGAAAGAGAAAACCAGGGGGTAGAGAAAGACAGAAAATTATTAAAAGATATAAAACCAATGACAAGGAACTTGTCATTGGTTTTATATCTTTTAATAATTTTCTGATTCTTTCCTTACTTTTCAGAATCCAAGAGATTATATAGGAGGTAGTAAGCAACTGAGATTGATATTTAGCCAGGGCCGGGGCCAGGTTTGATAAAATATAGCCGGGGCTGATGCCAGGTTTGTGACCTGGGCTGCATAAATATTTATACATCCTAAAGTAAATTTTTTAAATTCCAAATTCATGTTATATTTACCATATGTATGCATATATAAACATATGTATGATCAATATGATCATAATAATCATCATTGCCATCATCATCATCATCTCTTTTGACAAATACTACACCATATGAATACTAAAGTTTATAAAATTATGAAACAATTTTGGATGCCAGCATCTGAATAAATAGCAAGCATATTTGTTTATATCCATAAAGCGCATCATGGAAGCTTTTATTCCTTCTGTAATAAATGTTTGGAAGCTTTTATTCCTTCTCTTTAATTTTAAGTCAAGTCGCATTTGCTACATTTTTCACCATTTTGTGCAGTTGCTTTATTTCATATTCATTTATCTTTTTACAAGAACATCTCTCTTAAGAACTAATATCCTTATATTATTGCAAGAAGCCCATCTAAAATGTCCTGTCTGATGTTAAGCTCTGTTATTTTCAGTTTACTAAATCTTTTATCTTATCTCAGATTTTAGCTTCTTGAGACTTTTAGTTAGTCTTCAACAGTGTCATTAACTAAAGTAAGTCTAACATTTAATTTTTAATTCACTGGTCTGATCTTTCTACCTCTTCCCAAAAAAAAGCCAAGTTAATTCCAGAGAAACCTTATTCTAATTTGACTCTTGAATCTAATGGCCATATTCTTCCTGCCAGTTAAACCAAATCACTGTGGCTTTCAATGCTAAAGTTAATTTTCAATTAAACACTTCTACAGTTTGTGCTCCAGAGAAAATTTCCATCTTAGTCTTAAAAAAGTGTTTTTTAAATTTTTTAAAATTTTTGCTAAATTTTTAAAAAGTGCTAAATTAATAGTTACGATTTTTCAAAACTCTAGAAAACACTTTGACCTCTCCAGCTATCCTATGATTAGTCTTCATTCTGTTATTAGTTTCTTTATATAAAGGTTTTGAGATTATTAAATTATTTCTTTCTAACTAAAGTATTAAAGTTATTCCTGAAGGCCTACACTCTTCTTTATTTCAAGTAACTTTAAGGGCAGCACAAGGTTCTATCTTTGCTCCTGTATTGTTTTTTATCTACAATATAGATTTTCATGAAAATTTTACATTTAAAGTGGCTTTATTTGTCAGCAACTTTATACTCTTGTAGTTTTATTCTCTTGTCTTGACAAAAAATCTTCACTTTACTTAATTCCTTAGACCAAGCATCCGATTTTCAATCTAATCTCTCTACTGTAACAGCCTCAGGCTTGCAGTGGCTTATGGATTTAAATTCTGGACTTAACATCCACAATTTTTGTTAGACAAAAAAATTCATTTATTTACTGCAAAAATATAATGCAATGTTGGCATTCCTATATTAATGAATAACAACCCTCTTACTCTCAGACAAAGTCTAAAAGCACATTGTAAATATAAGACCTGCTTTATCTGCCTGGTTTTGAGCCATTCTTCCATTGTTGTTATTTTGCATTTTTTTCATTTTTCTACAATTACTATCATGGTCAATTCTCAAAGAGCTATTGTCTCTATTATGATAAACCAAAGCTCATTCTTGCTTGGCTTCTTATTCAACAAGTTGCATCCTTTTACTGTATCTGTCCCTTCATGCTATAAAAACTTTTATTAATCCAGTTTTTTTCCTCATCAAAAAACCTTATAACTCTTACCCATCTTCATGTTTTCCTTTTTTAAAACTTTTTATGATATTCGTTTTCTAGTATTTTAACTTATTATCAATTTTAAAGTAACTCATAACTTAATAGTGGTTGCTTGCAATCTTGTTGGAAGTAAATTGGATTTTAAAGATATATAAATATATGCCAGTATTTAATAAATAGTAAATGTAAGCATAAAAGTATAATATATAAAGTTTTATAAATTTTTTACTAGCACCAGCTATCAACCCCTGCTAAATCTTATAATTTTGCTAGGGCTGGGGCTGGGTTTGCAAAAAGTCTCAATTTTAGCTGGGGCCCAGACCAAAGTTTAATGTTATATCTATAAGCAAAATACAAAAAATTGCAATTGATTAAAAACATTGTCACTATAAATCCAATTGTGAGTTTTTTAACTAAAACAAATAAAATTTAAAAATTTTTTATTAAAGTATTTTTATTGAATTATTCTAAATCGAAATGTTAAATATGCAGTAAAAAAAATATGATGGTTTGCATAAGTACTTGCCCACATTTCCCTAAAACAGTTTACCGGAGCAATTTATGGCTCTCGACAAATCGATGAATGTGCAAATGTTTGTTAAAAAAAGGACAGAAAAACAAACACCTTATTTCTTTACTTTGCATATTCAAACGTTGGCGTATGCTTAAGATTTTTATAAACAAATGCGTTACTTCAGCAATTTTTTTCCAGATAACTATGCGATTGATAGTTTTTTATTTACTATAAAGATTCAGATATTTACTATAAAGATTCAGATTTAATAATCAATATCAATAATCACATATAAAACTAATCGCATAATCAATTTACCTCAGAAAAAAGTTTAGTTGTTTCCTCTAACCTATATGAATTTTTAGTCAAGCAAACTAAACTCAGATGAGTTTTGTTTGTTGGTTGATCAAATAAAATGTTTTTTAAATGTTGATTTTTATTTATTTATTTTTTTTTGCACTTAAAGCAATAAATCATATTTCTTTATAAAAGTAATTGGAAATTTCAATTTAAATTGATTTTTCTCATCATTTTAAATTTTAACTTTTCCAAATTAATTTTAGCATTTGTTATTTATTGCATTAAATTTAAAATTGTTATTAAATTTTATTTAAATTTAAAATTGCTTTAATTTGCATGTTTGAAATATTTTATATAAGATTTTCCATTAAAAGAGTACAAATTTTTTTTAAATTGTTGCAAACATTCCATTTTAGATATTTTCTATTAATAGATATTTTTCATGTATTTCATATATTTTGTAAAGAGGACATATTTTACATAAAAATTTACAAATTATTTTTTTTTTACTAGTCATTATTTTTATTTTATTTTAGCAAAGTGAATCAATATCATTTTTTTGGGGGTTTTTCTCTGGATTGTTTTTGGTTTTAATTGCTGTTGTAGCAGTTGCAGGTTTTTTTAATTTGTGTTAACTAGTTAACTTTTGTAATAATAAAAGTGTTTTACACTCAAAACAGTCAACATTTGAGTGTTGTACACTCAAAAACAGTCAACATTGGAGTGTTGTACACTCAAAAACAGTCAACAATGGAGTGTTTTAAACTCAAAGACAGTCAACATTTGAGTGTTGTACACTCAAAAGCAGTCATCATTGGAGTGTTGTACACTCAAAAAAGGAGGTTTTTTACTATACATCATAGATGAGTTTTTTTCCTGGAATTCCCGGAAAATCCGGAAATTCAATTTTCCAGAAATTTCCGGATGTATTTTGTTATTAATTTGAAAAAAAAAATTATATATTTTTAGATAAAATTTTAAATACGACAACTTTTGCATTTAAACAAATGTTTTCTACAATTTTTTTACTTTTTTTTTTTTTGCTTTTAGTTCATTCAAATTAATTTTTTCGAATATTAGAAATTCCTTTTTGTAAAAAGTTAAATATTCTAAATTCTTTTTTAAAAGTTTACAAAAGTTTTTGCTGTCTGTTACAGGGTTATTCATTTTTATATGTGTGTCGATTCAATTTTTATATGCGTTTTTATTCATTCTCATATGCGTTTTAAAAAAGCAATAAGAACAAAAAAAATCATTTAAGCATTTTGTTTTGAAAAAACAGTTTACTTTTTTCAAAACAAATTTTTCTTATTTCCTGGTAAACAAGGTTAAAAATATTTAAAACGAAGACTTTTTACATTCCATAATGGTTTATTTAATTTAGTATCAGGTCTTTGTTTAATTTTATTACATTATTAAATTTCTTGATTGATTAAATTATTATTTATCTAATCATTCATTGATATAGATTTAAATTTAACTATTTATAATAATTATTAATATATCTATAAAAAAAGTTCTTTAAAGTTGTTTAAAAAGAATGCAGTTAATCTAGCATTTTTAAATGTATTAATTCAAGTAAACTGTATTAGTGTACTTGAATTAAGACCAACTTACAAAGGCTTAGGCTGCTTTTTTCTGTAAAATTAGTTGGAGTAAAAAATTTTCAAAAAACAAGTTTGTAAAATTAATTGGAGTAAAAAATTTTCAATAAATACGATTAGAGCAACTATTTTTGAAACATTTAAGTTTAAGTATAACGAGTTTGTAAGAATGGCCGAAGCAAAAATTTTAAAAAAAAAAAAAAAAGTTGGTAAACCAATTTCTGATATTTGGCACAAATGATTTAAGTTCTCTCAAAACAATAGAATATAGTTTATTTTTAGATCCACAAAACACACTAATGCCAATAAAAAAGGACAACTTTAGCTCTAGAAAAAATCAGACTGGTAGAAAAAAACTTTTGTTTTTGATTACCTTTAATTTTAGAGGTCTTTTTTACGATCAATTTTGTTTTAGCCTTGTGTTTTGTTGAGGAGTTATTGATGTTTTGGTTTTTCAATTTTTCTGAAGAAATTAAAAAAAGTTATAAAGTGCATTTTGATTTTGAACTACAATTATATTTGTTTTTAAATTAAATTAGAGTCAGTTGATTTAAAAAAATAGTATGTGTATGATATGAGTTAAAATTTTACAAGGTTGTTACAAAATATTATGCAATATTTTGTAAATTTATAAATTTGTTACTAGTTATTTTCATTACATAGTATTTATGTCATTTGCATTGTTGTTTTCATTACATAATAGTTATTTCATTAAATTAAACAATATTGTGTAAACTTTTTTTTATTGATTGTTTTATTGTAATTTACTCATTAGAGACATTATCTATAAGATTTCTTGTAGCAAACTTGTGATGGGATAGGAGGTACAATCAAATGTTTAGCAACACTAGCAAGCTTACAAAGAAATATGGATAATCATATTTTATCTCCACAATCAATGTACAAATATTGCAATGAAAATATTGAAGGTGTACATTTCATTTATATGCCATCAGAAGATTCAACTTTGGTAAGAAACACTCTTAATGAATGATTGGATACTGCAAACACCATACCTGGAACTCATAGTTACCATCAGTTTTCTCTACAAAGTGAATGGGGCCCCGGTTAAAAATGAGACTTTTTGCAAACCTGGCCCTGGAAAAATTATTTAGCAGGGGTTGATAGCTTTGATTGATAGAGGTTGATAGGTTAATAGACTTAGCAGTGGTTGAAAGCTGGGGTTAAAAAAAAGTTTATAATTCTTTTTATATTATAATTTTATATATATATTTACTATTTATTAAATACTGACATATATTTATATATTTTAAAAATCTAATTTACTTCCAACAAGATTGCAAGCAACCACTATTAAGTTATGAGTTACTTTAAAATTGATAATAAGTTAAAATACTAGGAAATGAATGACTGATTACTTAAAATCATCTAGGTTGTATAAAAAAGGAAAGCATGAAGATGGGTAAGAGTTATAAGGTTTTTTTGATGTGCAAGGAAAAAAACTAGATTAATAAAAGTTTTTATAGCATGAAGGGACAAATGCAGTAAAAGGTTGCAACTTGTTGAATATGAAGCCAAGCAAGAATGAGATTTGGTTTATCGTAATAGAGATGATAGCTCGTTTGAGCATTGACTATGATTAGAGAAATAGCATAAAAGAGGAAGGCAAAAGCTTGATGTTGATGATGGTGATGATGATGATGATTATGATGATCAAGTTAATCATAATGATGTTTATATATGCATATATATGCAAAATATGAGTTTTGAATAAGAAAAATATACTTTATGATGTATAAGTGCTTATGCAGCTCCGGTCACAAACCCGACCCCGGCTATATTTTATCAAACCTGGCCTTGGCTCCAGTCAAATATCAACCTGGTCGCTTACTAGTTTGCACCACTTGGTCACCAAACAGTAAAAAAATAAAACATAATTTTTATTGATAAACTGGAATAGATTTTTTATTTCTGTGGAATCATTGTCAAGAACATTTTTTTTAATTTTAGACTTACAATTTCCTTTTAATTTCTTTAATAAAATATGTTTAATAAAATAAGAAAAACATAGTAAATGGATATGTTGCTAATATGTCTAAATAGGCACAAAGCTATGCAATGTTGATGAAGAATTTGCTTTAATTCATGACTTCGAAACATCCAGGTAACAGCTGTAAACTTAGTACCAGGTGATTATGCCTTTGTTTCCTATGAGCAAAGTCCTAGATAAGAATCGTTATTTTAAAAGAAAGTGATTTACTTGTCAATTTATCCAAATGGTTCTGCATGGTCATTTAATGGTCATCACCAATTCTGGATTCCAGGGGTCCATGATTATTATATTTAAACTAATTTCAAGTTTGATATGTCTTATTAGGCTTGGTCGGGAAGCGGGTGCAATCACACTCGATAATTGACCACAGAAATAATATTTAGTTGCGAAAAACCGGCCAGATTTTTAGCCGTTTTGAGACCATTTCAAAAACAAGCAAAAAAGCGCAATAAGATTAACTGGACCGATGAGAGACAGTTAGAAAAAGAAAAATAGCTTTTAACGCGAAAAAACCTTAAGCAAAATAAATACGATTAGAGCAACTATTTTTGAAACATCTAAGTTTAAGTATTAAGAGTTTGTAAGAATGGCCGAAGCAAAAATTAAAAAAAAAAGAAAAAAAGTTGGTAAACCAATTTCTAAGAGATTATAAACTTTTCTTTCTTAAGGGAAAGAGTCAGTTATCGGGTACACTGAGGAAAATGGATTAGTGGTTAAAATTATTTGTATTAATTTTGATAATTATTATTAATTTCATTGAAAACGCAGTTATTATTGAAAGTATTTTTGTTTACAAAATCAATTGCACAAATTGCTTTAAAAGATTACATTTGAATAAAATACACATACATGTTTACAAAATCAATCGCACAAATTGCTTTAAAATGTTACATTTGAATAAAATACACATGCATAAAATTACATACATAAAAAATACATACATAAAAATACATTGCATACATAAAAATACATTGCATACATAAAAATACATTACATACATAAAAAATTCATCCCTTTTATATAAAAAATAAGAATGTACTAATAAAATCTATAATATATTAACAAAACGTTGACAAGTTAAAGATATAAGTTTAAAACATTTATTTTTGTAAACAAATAATGTTAGTTTAAAACAATTATGGCTTTTTAGATGTGGCTCCGAGAATTAAAATAATAGTTTGTTTGATATTATATTCTTGAAACAATTTATGCCAGAAATCTCAACGAAAACATAACAAAGCTCAAATAATACAATTATTTAAAATATTTTAACAGAATACGCAAGAACATTTGGTTAGTATATTTTGAATACTTTGGTTGAAATCTTTTGTCTTTCTGCTGTAAAATGTGCTTCTTACATAACTTCGTGGATTCAGGCTGGCATAGAACCTTTTATTCCCTCTCGACGATTCCAGATCAAGCCTATAATTTCGGTTAGTATTTTTTGAACCAATAGAATTAGTTGTTTCTAGATTTGGCTGGTTTTTTGTGTTTGCGAATATTCTTTTTTTATTTTTCCGCACAAAGATGTTAGAAAGCGTTCGAGTGTATGTATGTTTCCATGCATGTCCGTAAAACAAAATATTTTAAAATTTATGATAAAATAATGAACCTAATTATTATTTAGCAGACAAACAAGGAAACATACATAAACTTAAATGTTCTTAAAACGACTAAAAAATCTGGCTGGTTTTTCGCAACTAAGTATTATTTCCGTGGTCAGTTATTGAGTGCAATAGCACCCGCTTCCCGACCAAGCCTGTCTTATCCATACTATTTTAAATCTTTTGTTCTGTGTACAATTTATTTATAATGTGAATGAAAAGCATACATAAACTCACTAAAATTGAGTATTTCTTTTTCAAAAGGTTTTTATATACCTTTTAATTTTGTTGTAAATAACAAATGAAAATAAAAAAAATAATAAAGTCACTTAACGGCTAATTTCTAACTTGATTGGTAAAATGTTAGGATAGATTGATTGTCTAATTTTAAAAATCACAAAATTTTGTGTCCATATCAAACCTCAAGAGCTCCATAAATGGACATAAGGCCAAAATATAATTGGTTCGTAAAGTTAATATATCTCATCTTTAAAAAAATAAAAATTGAAATTTTTTTCAATAAGTCAAATTTTTTTTATAGCTATTATTGTCAATGGCAATTTTTATTGTAATTATCAAGCGCATCTCATTTACCTTAAGTTTTCTCATTTTTAGTGGATCTCATTTTTAAGTCATAATTAAACAAACTTCAAATTGCTGTAAATCCTAAATGGAAAAGACTTTTATAAAAAAAAATTTACAGTCTTTCTTAAGTTGTGTCTTTAAACATTTGTGCAAAATTTCAGAAAGTTTGGTGATCTAGGGTGCAGATTTGTGATATTTGTGTTTTTTGAAAAATTTTTACTCAGAACTTACTTTTTTCCTGTTAAAAAATTTTTGTCACTAAATTTTGTTTTTTCTTGAACATCTTCGCTTCCATCAAGGCTGCAAGCAACCACTATTAAAGTTGGAAGTTACTGGAAGAGAAAATATGAAGATTGTAGGGCAAGATAATGATTGACAGACAGCTTAGAAAATTGCAAGTTATATGAATCAGGAAAGCAAGATGAAGAAAGCGAATTCTAAAGAACTGATGTTTGAGGAAAAAACTAGATGAGTAAGAGTTTTTGAAGCATTTAGGAACAGTCACAGAAAAAGAATGACACTTAATTGAATGACGAGTAACTCGAGAATGAATTTTAGTAGATGGCACAAGAGATGCTAGCTCCTTAGAGCAGTGCTCGCTATAGTATTTGTTGAAAAGAGAAAGAGAAGCAACATTACGACGATGTGATAATGGTTGGAGGTTGGCTGCAAGAGCAGGTCCAACTATGTTTACAATGCGTTTTTGCACCTTGTCTAAAAAAGAAAGGGCATCATTCAAAGATCCGTCCCTGATATGGCTACAGTATTCCATACAAGGCCGGATTTGAGATTTATAGAGAAAGAGAATAGAATTCAGAGTAAGAAAAGGTTGAGCTCGATAAAAAGATGCAACCTTAGTAGATGCTAATTTTGCAACGGATTTGATATAAGGTTTCCAAGAAAGATCAGAAGTAAGAGTAAATCCTAGAAGATGACTCATCGAGTCATTACTGTTCATAAATATAGGAAGATCTAAATTATTGCGATAACGATTGGCTGAAAAAAATTAAGTTTTATCTGAATTAAAGTTCACCAGCCACTGTGAGCCTGATGCTGTAGCAGAAGCTAGATCCTTTTCAAGCTCAAATGCCCCCTCCAAGCAATCAGAGAGTGTTAAGGTTTTATTATGACAAGAATTAATGGTAATATCATCAGCAAACAATGCTTCCTTAGATGTGAGAATATCTGTAAGATCGTTAATGTAAATCAAAAAGAGTATAGGGCCTAGGATTGAACCTTGAGGAACCCCTGAAGTTATAGGATATGAAAAAGAGTGCTGTCCATCGAGGACAACTTTTATACTACGATTGGAAAGGAAGAATTTAATAATCTTGATACCAGATACATCGTAAGAACAAAGCTAATGGAGAAGACCAGAATGCCAAACTTTATCAAAAGCTTTAGAAATATCAAGAGCGATGGCCTTAACGTTTCCACCTTTATCTAATGCACAATAAAACCTATCAGCTATTACTGTTAGCAAATCAGCTGTGGAATGAATGAAAATACTGTAGAATGAAAGAATTCTTCTGAAAGTATTCTTTCAGAATAAATAATAAGTGTACTTGGAGAACACTTCTGCAAGACTGTAACAGGTATGCTGTCCAGTCCTCAAGCTGTAGAAGAGTTTAAACATGAAATTACTTTTGATACAGAAGCTGAAGTGATATGAATCAAGCAATGGATTAACCTGTTTGACAGCTAAATCAGGTAGAACGCAACTATTGGAATCAAGAGATCATATTGATGAAAAGTTTTTAGCAAGCAATTCAGCTTTGTCTTTAGGTGAGGTGATAGAGTCTGAACCATACAAGAGAGGTGGAATAACAGATTTGCTCTTATTATTGATACTATTAAAGGTTCTTCAGAGCTTGTTATTGATACTATTAAAGGTTCACGAGAGCTTAATTTTTGTGATGAAATACGAGATTTCATGACCTAAGAAAACCGGGCTTCCGCTTAGATAAAACCTTTTTACAAAGGTTCCTTGCAGTAATAAACAGACGTCTGTTTTCTAAAGAATTGTTTTGCTGATATATATGGAAGTAACGGTTTCGATTGGAAGTTACAGCAGCACAATATGAGGAATAATATGGAGAAGAGTGAGGCTTGATCTGGAATCGTCGAGAGGGAATAAAAGGTTCTATGCCAGCCTGAATCCACGAAGTTATGTAAGAAGCACATTTTACAGCAGAAAGACAAAAGATTTCAACCATCATAAAAATAATCACAGAAAGAGTCCCAGTCCGCTTTAAGATAGTTAGTTGTAAGAGATATGATGATAGGGAGATTTAGATGATGAAGAAGAATAAGATAATAGTTTTAGAGAGATCAAACCGTGATCAGAAGCACCTAAGGGTGAATGTGGAGAAACTGAGTACTGAAAAAAGACATAAGTCGAGTAGTGAAGGTAAATGGTTCAGTTTGTCTGGAAAGCGAGTTGGAAAGTTGACTATTTGAGTTAGGGATTAAGAAAGGCAAAAATTGTGGGCTTTAACGCCTGCAGAGTTACTGACACTAGAACCAAGCCATTCAGTGTGATGAGCAATAAAGTCACCAACAACAACAATATTGGCTGATAGATAAAGAGAGAGGGCTTGGTCAATTTGATCAGAAGTAACATCAAAAAGAGTGCAGTCTTGAGATGAAGGAGAGCGATATAGAACAAAGAGAAAGGCGATAGAGTGAGGTGGTGCTAAACAAAAGCACATAAAAGAGTAGTCTGTAGATTCAAACCTAGTGTCCCGACAAATAGGTGAAATCTTACAAATATAAATGCCCAGGCCAAGCATGTGACTATTGGAGTCTTTACGAATTAAAGGAAGATAACCATCAATACTAAAATCACAAGATGAGCCAGCTGAACTCAATTAGTCTTTACAAGAGATAAGACTCAACCGAGGAAAATTTACTTCGAAGATTACAAATATTAGTTTGATTGGTTTAGAGAACTTAGTTATGACAATGTTTTTTGTATTTTATAGTTTTTGTTACTTTATTCATTTTTAAATTTGTTAAAGAACTTGACTCAAAGCATAGGCCATACTCAGTACACTGTTTAATAACCCAAGCAATTGCCTCATTACTATTAATAAACCCTAAGCCGTAACAAAGGGCTCCAAATGTGGCCTTGACAATGCACTCCAAAAGTACAAACAGGGACACCATCCATGCACAACATGGCACTGTTAATTCTCTCACACTATTAAAATGCAATAAATAAGTTAAGAAAATATATAGCATATATTTTAAAATACTATTTTTACATTAGCAATACTACAAATTAAATTTATTTAAATTTTTGTTAACATAAAGAAGTAGTCAGTTATAGCGTGTGTTGATAATATTTTATAACATGAATGTTATAAAATGTATAAAGTTTAAATGAGTATACTCCAAACCTACTTGCTAATTAGTAATAATGAGATATTTTTATGCAACCCTTTATAATAATGCTGCATAAAATTCCAGTTTAGTTTTTAAAGTAAATAGTAATAATTAAAGTAAATAGTAATAATTAATTAAAGTAAATAGTAATAATAGTTTTTAAAGTAAATAGTAAACAAAACCTCTGAAAAATTTTCATAAGTTATATATGTTAGCAACTAAGGTATTGGTTTACATGGTTATATAGTATTTTAGATATGTTTTTTTCTTTTTCTTTTTTTATTACATAAAATATTTCAATATTTTTGCAATTAAATAACTGAATATCTTTTTTTTTTTTTTTTGAGTTTTTCAAATTTGTGAAGTAAAGTGTTCCACACGGAACACAATATTTTTTTTTAAAAACTTTATAGAATTTGTCATCTTCTGGCTAGTGTTAGACTTGAATTAACTTATAATTTATAAGCATTAAAATTGTATTAAGAGATTTTCTTTAACCTATAACTCATGATCCTTAGATTTAAGTTTATACATTTATACACATTATCTTTTAGCTTTAGATTGTTATTTTTAAATTAGACATTTTATGAGATTAACCTGTATATATATCTGCACGCTATAAAAAATATGTGCAAACTTTAAAAGTTTTTGTAAAAATACATGCAAGAATAGTTGGCACAAATAAATTTTTGTTGTATTTTAGCATATTATAAAGGTCCTAACACAAACTGGCTACCTGCTTTACGAATGTACCGTGGTATTTTAATTTTATATATTATGATTGGTTTACTTGGTATAAATGTGCGTGGTTGGGGGCGAGCTGGTGTAAATCATGTCCTTATTTTTGAGCTTGATCCTCGTCATCATTTATCCTATGCAGAATATTTGATGGTATACCTTTTTTATCAACACATATAAATTATTTGAAAGGGTGGTACTTTAAGGTCAATTGACAACTGGTGTTTACTTAGGCACTCGTTACATCAGACAAAAATTCAAAGATTAAAACTTTTCATAAAAAATGAACAAAAAAACAATTTGAAAATTACTGATGTTTTTTGACCAGTTTTTTAAAAAACCTGACCTTGTGGCGCCACTATTATGATTATGCAAACACAAGATATTAGTATTTATATATAGTTTCAATTTTATTCTTTATAGACAGCATCAATGTTTGGAACATTATGGTGTTTAAGCTGCTTAGCTTTTCTCTTCAGTAGAGGTTTTAAAATCCCAGAATTTGCTCATCCTTTAGCTTTGGCTACTTTTACCTTATTATATTTAATTAACCCAACAAGAACTTTTCAATATAGATCTCGACGATGGTTGCTTAGAGTGTTGGTAATAATTTATAAATTGTAGTTAATATTATGAAATGATAAGCTATTTTTATAGTTTTTATAATTTTAGTTACGAATTATTGTTGCCCCCTTCAAGCATGTTTGTTTTGCTGAC